TCACAAGCTCATAGTTCTTCTACCGTCATCAATCCCTCTGATACGACCCATAGGAGTGTCTCCTGAAATAGCGTCGTTATGGCAGCAGGCGTTCCCAACTTTGCTTGTCACGGTCACAATAATAAACACGCAGACTGTAATGAGAGCGGCGTACTTACCTCCGTCGCCATGCTTACTATAACAACGGTCATGGTTTGGTCCGGTTTAGGACAAGATGGTGGTTTGAGTTAAAATAAGTACTTCCTCGATATTAGACAATCTTTGTTGTCATGGTTACAGTAATACCAACTAACGGTCATGGACAATCTCAACCTCCTACTGACGTGGACTTACTCTCTCTTTATACTACGTCACTTTGCTCCTGACGTAATTACTATGACCACTAGATGTTGCCTAGCAACAAAATGTAACTATGGGTCATTATAACTATCAGGTATGCGAAACTAAGGACCCAAAATGCAGATAGACAAAAAGGGTGTGGATGAGAAAAAAGTGTTTTACTAAAGAAAACCAACTTACAAAACTGGCAAAATAGGCAATCAACAAGGAGGGAAACAGGACAAAGACAGGAAGTAAAACAACCACGAGATACAAAAGGAAGTCAACTTCAACATAAAACAGGAAATGAAACTAATGTCCAAACAAAGAGTCAAAAAGTCTCCAAACATGAAGTGTCCTTCAGGGGAAACCATAACAGAAACCTGCTGCGCAGACAATGGGAGGACGGTCTAATCCAAGGGCTGCTGTGTAACCAACATTTATTTACTGTTAGGAAACATTTCTTTTGTTGATGATCAGCGAACCACTCATATTAGGTTTAAGGTTTTGTTGTTTTTGTTTTTGTTGTTCCTCTCTGTAATTATCAGCACCATCAGGTTTATGTGTTGTTTAATTTAATGTTTTATGGTCATGGTGGAAGGAGGATGTGACAGTTCAGTTCTGCTCAGTTTGACTCTCGGATCAATCGCCTGACTGATGTTATATAAATGACCTGTTGTGCTTTTGTGATGGTGATCTGACAGAGCCTGATGAAGATCTCAAATCTTCTTTGTTAAAGCTGCTGCGAGCTGTTAGTGTGAGGGTCTGATTCTTACCTTTGATTTGATTTTTGATCCTGTGAAAGTGTTTTTGATGTGTGTGTGCTCTAAACCCTGTTAGTCTCAGGTTAGCAGCTCTTTATTGGGCTTAAGGGAAGTTTAGCTTTTGCTTTCTGTTAATGAATATAAAGTGTGACAGAGAAAAAAACTCAATTTGAAAGCCAACAGAGAAACACAAAAGGGAATTTAATACTAAAAAGACATGTTTCCCCTTGATGTGATTAACCTGGATTAACCAGCTTCATGTTAACATTAGAGAACGGGGACTGTGAATTCTGTGCCTCGTCACTTGTTTACCTTCCTTTAACCTAATCCTTTAAGCTTTTATCTCTGAGATACTCATAAGTAAATAAGCAACAAAACATCTTTATTTATTACGACTACATTCAAAAGCACTAATGTCATTTATCAGAACCCAACAACTGTCTCCATGTTTTGATTCAAATATTGTTAAATAATCAGTTTTCTCTTCAAACCACTGAGAAGACAAAAACAGAACGCCGTCAAATAACCAGACTGTTGCAACATCGTTCATTAATTATATTCATTCGGGGCCCAATGACTCACAGACAACAACAGAACACAACACTCAAACCTACGCACTGTGACTGGAGTTATCTTACAATAAGGTATCCACCTCCCAACCAATCAGTATTCACCAAATCCACAATACAAAAATAGGACTTCCACCCCGTGCTATAAAATGTGCAGATATGTCAGAGTTACAGTGACAGTTTCCACCCAGACCCGGTTCTACCGGGAGACACACACATCATCTCAACTGTGTGTGAAACAGGAAGTGAGACGTGTCTGTTCCACGGCACTGCAGCCAGTTATAGAAACCAGGTGTATAAGTATATTCATTATGGAGGCGAAAACACGGAGATCATTAAAGAAGAAGTCGACAAAACAGATTCTCTTCATCATGTTCTCTCTCTGAGACTGTGAATGAAAAATGAGCAGGTGTCTTACAGCAGCTATGTTGTTATGTTTTTCTCTGCACATTTGGTATTTTGGTGATTTGCCATGAACTTTACTGTGGCACAGTGGCACAAAAGGCCAATGGTCAGTGTGAGAATTTACATTGTTAGCCTAATTAGACCAGGTCTAAAGAGCACAGAGTGACATGCATATATTCATGTGCTATTTTCAGGCTGTATCAGTGCACATGTGCAGCTTTCCTTGTGCAGCATTATCCCAGTCAGAGTCACGTTCAAATGAGACGATTCTGCCTCTCATAATCAGTGTCAGGAAGTAGTCTATCCTTTCTGTGGTGAGGTTGACAGTCCTGAACCGCCCATACAGCAGCCCATAATTTCCATGTGCAGATATTATAAGGTGATCATTTTTGGCAGCAGACATAAAATTACTATCAATGAACATAAATCAGGGTTTCGAAAAATTCCTTTTTGAAAAAACATGGTGGGCTTCCAGTCTGGTAAATATGTTGACCAGGTGGACGATCAGTTCTCCGTGATGTGAATTTATTTTACCATGGATCAGTATTCACCGTGTGTGCTGTGCTATGACAAAAATCAATCTTTTCTCTCAGTGAGTGTGTGTGTGTGTGTGTGTGTGTGTGTGTGTGTGTGTGTGTTTGAGTGTGTGTGGCAGCAGGACTGTGGGTGTAGTGGTGCAGGCCGTGTTCCCACTGTCACAACCTTCATCATATTTTCTATGTGACACTATTGAAACAAAAATAAGGAAAATAACCAAATAATCAAATGATAAAATGTAAGTTTCAGAGATCATCCTCCCTCCTCCTGCTCTCCTCCAGCTGAAGGGAATGTTTCAGTCTGAAGTGTTTGTGAGGTCGACTGACAGACTGAGCTGCACATAGTTTAAAGCTGAGTGAAGAAGCACAGAGGAGATGAAATAACTAAATATCTTCAGACAGACGTGAACTGACTCCCTGTAACTTTGTCTGAGAATGTATTGATCCATGCGGATAAATCAACTTGTCACATTACAGATAAAAAACCTCCATGTGTTTAACAGTAACTAAACTACCTATTCATGAACTAACTGATTAAACTAGCTACTAATGAAGTAACTAAATTAACTATTATACTAATGAACAAACTATTAAGGAACTACCTACTAATGAACTAGCTACTAATGAATTAACTACTAATGAACTAACTAACTGAACTTACTACTAACTAACTACTAATGAACTAACTGAACTAATTACTAATGAATTAACTAACTGAACTAACTAATTGAACTACCTACTAATGAACTAGCTACTAATGAAGTAACGACTAATGAACTAACTGAACAAGCTACTGACTAGTACTGAAATAACTGAACTACCTGCTTATGAATTAACTAACTGAACTAATTACTAATGAACTAACCAACTGAACTAACTACTAACTAACTGTAAACTAGATACTGATTCGTACTTTGATGACTGTGCCTCCACATGTAAACAGTAACACACAGCTGTGTCTGCTGCACACACACTGAGTCCCGCAGTAACACAGTGAAGTTCTGGGTGGCAGCAACGTGAACGAGTGAACTAGACGTCATGTGTTTCATGTGACTGCTGATACAACAGCTGATTTTAGCATCTGGAAAGCTAAAAATATTCAAACGCAGAGCCTTTCTCCGCAAGTCTTAAATCAGTATTTGATTGAATCATTAAACTAATCACGTAGAACAAATATGTGAACTGCTCTGATTGTGAGAGAGAGAGAGAGAGAGAGAGAGAGAGAGAGAGTTAGATCAACAAAGGAGAAGAAATTGGATTAAGAAAGAAAAATAGAGCGAAATGCTGAATTTAAAAGTGTCTGTAGATTCTCCCTCATGCCAACAGCAACAGCTCTGTGTGTGTGTGTGTGTGTGTGTGTGTGTGTGTGTGTGTGTGTGTGTGTGTGTGTGTGTGTGTGTGTGCGTTCACATTTACAGATGTGAGGAGACGGCCTGTAGGTCAGTCCACCACTTAAACTAACTGCTTCTCAGTGTTTGGAGTAAAACTGGAGTTAAGACTCTGTGTGATATGAAAACAGAAACATCTCTGGCGTGCGGACGCTTCTGAGTTTGATTCAAAGGCTCCGTGAAGGCTCCTGGAGAGACCTGGTTCATGTGAGGATAAATGATGTTTTGGTATAAAAATTACACCTGAGGGAAAAGCGCAGTGAAACCAAAGACACCATTCACAGCTAATCTGGCCCTGCCAAATAATCCTGTTAAGCCTGCTCTATAAACCGCTCTATGAAGATTTCTCCGGCTACGTTCACACTGATACGTTTTGGTTTTAAAACTCATCTCTTATTCTACGTTTACTCCTCCGTTCTCACGACTCCAGAGTCTTCAGCCTCTAAAACAGAGACTTTCAGAAACTCTGCTGTACCTGTTTTATTAGGAAAACTCTGAGGTTGTGTTTTATTTTGAAAACTCTGGGGTTGTGTTGTAGTCTGGACAAGCAGAAACTGAGACCTTTGGAAACGATTACATAGGCTCCAACCACATCTCCTGATTGGCTGGTCAACCGCCAGTCCTACAACTGTCTTTGCTGTTCCTCGATCAGAGTATTTGAACTAACCAACTAATCTGCTTCCTGTTTACACCGGCACACACACGTCAGTGAGTGGGTCATGTGATGTGTGTTTTCAGGTGTGTTAGTATGGACGGAGATGATTTCTGATACTCGTCTGGATGGAGATCGATTTGTTTTAAAATGAAAACGTGGACAAAGTCTTTGAGTTTGGATATACTGTGTGTACTGTATATACCTACAGTAATTACTATTTTTACCTGTATGCTGTTTCCAAAGAGAACATGCTTTACAAACAGCTCGAGTGTGTATGTGTGTGTGGGTGTGTGTGTGTGTGTGTGTGTTGAGAGGATTAACAACCACAGTATTAATAGCTGCTCTGTCTTGTGTCTCCCTGACAGGTTTGATATGAGAGCTGTGGTGGATCAGGACAAGAGAGAACCTGCTGGAGGTGAAACAGACCCTGAACACATCACCACAACTATGCAACAGGACGCAGAAAATAAAAGTTTCTTTTGTATTTGCAGCTCAATGCCTGTGGACAAAGCAGCATTGAGCTGGCTGCTGCTGCTTGAGACGTCTGTATTGATCTGTCACTCCCAGGACTTCCTGTGGCATCAGGAGAAAGATGATCATAACAAAAGAGATGTTGTCCTCCTGTGTTTAACCTCTGTCCTTCTCGGTGAATGAGAGGAGATGTGTGCACAGTGACAACAGGGGAGTGATGCTGTTGCACAGGACATTTGTGGATGACATCATCGAGGCATCAGGTGTTTGATTTCCAAAAAAAAAGAGTTTGTTTAATGATTACAGTGACGTTACAGTGACGTTACAGTGACGTTACAGTGACCTTACAGTGACGTGACAGTGACATGACAGTGACGTTAGAGTGACGTTACAGTGACGTTACAGTGCTGTTACAGTGATGTTACAGTGCTGTTACAGTGATGTTACAGTGACGTTACAATGAAGTTACAGTGACGTTACAGTGACGTTACAGTGACGTTAGAGTGACGTTAGAGTGACGTTACAGTGACGTTACAGTGATGTTAAAGGTGGAGTGCTACAGACTGGGTACAAAGTTGTACAGTGTTAACTAACAAACTGTTGTAATATAGAACAACATCAGCCAGTACCATCTTCATCATCATCATGTGTTAGTTAGTGCAAAACAATGTGTTCCTTCAATCAATTAAAACTTGCTTTGAACATTTTGAATACATTGTAAAAAGACTGATCAAACTTTAATATCTTGGTCGAGGAACAGATTTCCTCATAGATGTTGTTACTGATGCTCCATCTAATGATTTTCATCTGTTTACAGATATGTGAACTGTTACTTAATACGACTGTGCAACACTATGGACATCCACAATAAACAAAAAACAGATCTGTGAGGCTCCTCTGAGCCTCCGTTGGCCTCCCAGGCTAGTTTGATCATATTATGGCATCAGCTCTGATATAAGAAAGACTACAGGAGTGTGAGCAGAGTTACAACCAAGCTGTTATATCTCCACTGATTCAACTCCCAGAGCAGCAGAAGACAGGCTGCAAACACTGGCTGGCTGATGCATATTTAACAAATATCCTCTGAAGAAATCATGAGCTTCGTTTGGATGCAAGAGCTTGAAAAATATGACTACAGACTCTGAAGACGTTCAATAGCCTGTTTTAGATGTCGCCTGCTGGCTTTGTATATATGTGCACTGTATACACATAAAAAAAATCAATACTCGCTATAATTACACACATTGGAGTAAAGCTTTATACAATACCCTGTGACTGAGTCTGTCATGTCTTAAACCCATTAGCCACAGGCGGAGTCACAGCTCAGTTTCTTAGTTAAACTCATAAAATCATAACATTTGACTTTTTGCCTGCACTGTCACGCATGGTAAGCTATATACATATACATATATAGATAGATATCTATATATGTATATATCTATCTATATATATATATATAGATAGATATATGATCCTGACCCTGCTGTATATAGGTGTATATGCTTTTAGATGTATAATGATGATGATAATGACATGATGTATAATAATTAAAAGTGACATTCTCAGATTGTGTAAACTGTTGTGTAATTTCTTCTGTTGGAGAAAACTAAATAAATAAACCTGATGTTTATCTGGATTGTCTCAGCTCAGTTTCAAATTCTTCCTCGATTACAAACCAGAGTTTGAAACACTTACAGAGAGAGGATCTGACAAATGGGAACTGAAGAATTTAGCATTTCTGGCTCTCTTAAAGAAACCGTCTGTATCCAGCAGACACAGAACAACACCTTCTTTCCACTGGAGCTGTTTCTGGACATGTGATAAATGTCACTCTACAGTTTCAGGAACTCGTGTGCTTCAGCTCGATGTCACTTGTTGCTGAACGGGTAGCATCTCCATGACGACTGATGACGTCTGTTGGCTGGAAATGACAGATGAAGTGAACTTCAGAGGTGAATACAAAGTCGATGGATGGATGTGATTTAATGTGAATTCACCCAGAGCGATGTGTGATCCACAGAGACGCGTTGCAAATGTTTCAACAAGAAATTCACACAAATCCTGAATGTGCTTCATAAACATACAGAGTGAAAAGACACCGCTGCTAACAGGCTCACCGCTATCATACAGTGCGAAGCCTCAGTGTGAATGACAGGAGGCTTTGCTTTCTCTCTGAACACACCTGGGATGAAGAGTAGAAGAAGTTGGTGACTGATCTGTGAGTTCATTAAATTAAAACCTCTTGTCAATTATTCAAGCCTGAAGATATTTATTCTTAAAGGTGCAGATGAAGTAAAGTCAGGTTTCCTGACAGTCTTACTCTTTAATGTCACCTACAGCAGCCTGGTTAATGTTCTTATATGGTTTCTATGTCTCTATCAAACTGTACTTGAATACATGAATTACAGGGTTAAGAACAGACTTCTCCATATTAATGAAGCCACTCGGGACATCCATCCTCTCAGTTGTTCATTCTTTAGCTCACTACATGAATCTCCACCCACTTCATCAGGCTGTGGTATGATAAATTATCTCACAGAGTCCAGGGGGTTTGTCTGAAGAAACCCACTCAACATCCCCAAACTTCCTCTGAAGCGTTTTCATTATCACATCCTGAGCTGAGCTGACTGGAGGAGGAACTGAAAACTGAGGATTAGTCCCAGAGTCCTGAGGGAAGAGAGAGAGCGTATCAACTGTAACAGAAAATTTGAAAATGTGATGAAAGTTGAATAATTAAATAATTATCACATTAACGATAGACCTTATTTGCTGTGACATTTATTTTCCTTTCCTTCAGAAAAACAAGAATAATCCTCATAACATAATATAATTATTATACAGCACTTATATATAAATAATTGTGATATAATATATTACAAAAACAAGTTTACAAAGTGATTCACAGACATTAAAACTCAACGTACAGAACTAAGAGTCCAATCGTGACATCATCAGAGCAGAAGACCAGATCCAGATTACCTGAGATTAAAATGATGAAAGAGGTTTGATCCAGCTGTTTGAGATAATTGTGAAAACATAAACCTGATTATTACAGCATCACCTTGAGGTCAAGGAGGTCATTACATGTGTCTGAGCTGTGGGTGGAATTTGTGACACACCTGCCAATTTCTGGTGTTTTTAGGTCTAAACAATACTGACCTACTGGCAAAGCTAATGTTAGCCAACTCTCAAACAGAAACAGAGCAAACTCCTCATCCGTCTTCATGTCTCTCAGAGTTGGACCATCACGACCACCAGGACCAGTTGGACGCCGGTGTCAAGTGTGCCAGCAAATCGGCCGGTGGGCCGTGAAGACATCCATAAAGTTGTTAAAGTTTTATCCGGTCCCATCAGTCTCTGTCCCTGGCCCTGTCTGTGTGCCTGTCATTCAGAGTGCAGGCCGGTCTCAGTGGATAAATCCAGGTCTTCTTTCTGAGTCGGACCGTGCAGTCTCCACCACTGGACAGTCTGTTACTAATGTTAATGCAGTTCTTCACCTGATCACAGCAACAACTTCTTCAGTTTTTGTTCTGTTGACCTTCTCCTCTTTGGCTGCACCTCCTTCTTGACTTCATGTTGTAAAGTATCTTCTGCCATCACGTCACCACTGGTAGAGATTTCTTCCACCTTCACCTCCGGTCTTTGCGCCAGTGTCTCATCTGCAATCTCCCAGTTATTCCATCTCAAAACTCCACACCGTCAGACAGTGACAGGAGGATAGACTGGTCCTTCTCCTTCCCCTAGTAATGATTGGCACCATCTGTTAGCATCTGCCAGATTTACATCTCTCCCTCCCTACTGCCTCTTTCCCACATCTCCTCTCTTCTCTGCTTCTTCTCCTCATGCTGTTGCCGATTAGCAGTAATGATGCTGTGTGTTTGTTTATTCCCATATACAGCACAAGGACTGTGGAGGGACGCACACAACAGACAGCCAGAGGAACAATGAGGAGATACTAACTGACTTTGATAAAAAACAATCACTCACTCTGCCTTTGAGATCTGGACAGTCACAGAGTCAAGGCTCCTGCTACTGATGTAAATCACTATTTAAATATATCTAATATGATCAAGTTGAAAACTACAGTATATGTTTTTTCTCCTGCCAACTGCAGTGAAATAATTGATATGGAAAGCTGTATAAACCTGCACAAAACAAAACTGAACAGCTAAATTTACATCATGCAAAGTCTACTCAACTTAACTGTACAAAGTGCTGAGTGCTGCCTCTCTCTGTTTGCTGAGTGCAGTCTCTTCACTTTCATCCCAATGGGATCGACCGCTGATCAGCATTTCCGAACCATGCAGGCTCTCCAGGCCACTCCACAGGCCTCAAACACAAAGTAGCACTAAAACAGAAATACATGGTGATTGCAGTTTGGATTCCTTAAACAAAGGTTTTGCTCTTTGCCCCTGTGTTCACTGCAGTTTTCACTATACAACTGAAAATGCAGAAATGTTTTTAAGTCATCAGAGTTTTTAAGTTATGCGTTATGCGATATTGACTGTGGTCCTCTGAGATGAGATATGAAATATTCAGCTGGAGGCCTAATGAGCTGCTTTAAATCAATCAGTCTGACCGTATACATCCTGCTCCACTTGCACCTGGGCCAATGATCTGTTTCCTCATATGTGAAACTGTAAATTCATTCATGTGTTGAACCACATAGAGGAAAACCTGCAGCTACATGCAATCCAAACAGCCTGGCCTCAGGGCTTTAGTAGACTTGATGGTCAGATGGTAAATAAATAGTCAAACAAACAAATCACATCTCCTCTTGATAAAAATGACTGGCTGTGAAAGTACTGACAATAATAAATCATAAAAACTACATGAGGAAAGAGGAATATAGTATTGTTGATGGGGTATTTTCACAGGTCTTCAAAGGATAATTCCAGTTCATTTCACAACTTATTTTCAGAGTTCAGATCATTATCTGGACTCTGGTATCCAACCAGAGTCCTGAGTATTTATAACATTCAACTGTTTCAGCTTGATGACCCTGAAGAGTTTGGATATGAGCGTTAGGCTGGATCCTCTATGGTGATGCAGAGAATAACATTTAGTTTTACCAGAATTTAAAACAAGTTCATGTTTGATAATGGCTTTAAATGGTTTTACAATGGCCAGATTATGAGAAGAACCACTGGTAAATAAAATAGTGTCATCTGCATAAAAGCGAACATGACAGTTTGATATTGACCAAGAATGGACCCTTGTGGAACACCTGTACTGACACTGAGGGAGTTCTATCTGAAGGTCATGAAACATTTAATGGACTGTTCATTTACAC